AAGAATAGAAGACTTCAAAAGGAATATCAGTCTTCCCTGTGAAACAATCAAGTCTCTCTCAAACTCCAACCTAAGTGTTAGGTTAGATCACTTTAGAATAAAGGTACAGTGTCCTTCTTCTTTGACTGTAGCAGTCCACCTTCTGGGTATTCTTAACCTGTGCTCAAAGAATTGAGATATAACACAAAACTTATAAATAAATGTCATATTCAAGTAGGGTTCCTTGAAGGGGCTATGAAAGGAGAAAGGAATCTCCCTCATTTACAGAACTCTGCACCACGTGCGTTCACAGTGCCTAAACCAAGGGGATAACACTTCCAGTGTGGAAATGCTGTGGTCAAGCACACTTCGGGTCGTGAAGAAACACATCCAGTAAATTCTGTTTATTTGCTGAGGTAAGCAGAATGCAATCTCCAACCCTGGAATCAGACAAGCATGTCAACATTATAAGCTTCTTTATACCAATAATATCCTGGACCAATTATCAGCAAGAGAGAGGCCTCAATATTGCATGTCCTGCAAATAATATATAAATAAACCACTCAGCTACTTCTTTTTTTCCAGATACTATTTTGAAATTACTGCAACTAGTTGATAAAAACTTCAGCTCGGTAACCTCAGTCATACAGACAAATTTTAATAAATTCACATGCTTCAGAGGGAAATTGTACCAACTGCACCGTTGAAGGGCCGCAGATAAATGGATATAAATTGCAGCTGATATCCTCTCTGCCGTACCACTGAATGAGCCTTCTGTCCTTTGTCCACATCTATCCAATTTGGCATGTGCTAAGGATGGTATCACAAGCATTGTGAGTTTTAACACACACATACAAGCATCTATCACCGTGTTACAGCCAAGTAAGATGAAACAGCCAAAAGACTAAAACTGACAGTTAAGGAACGTTAGAAGCTGACTAACAGCTTCTAATGAGCTCCAGATGCTTTTTCTTTCTGCATAATTTGAAATCTAACATTTCCAGGCACTGCATGCTATTCAGTTCTTCCCCCTCCAGCTCGAACTTCCATTCTGGAACCAACCATTATGCTGATGATCTCCAAGGGCGTAACACTCCTGTTGCTTAGTAACAAAAGTTTCACGGGCTGCGGAAGGGAGCACTGAATAGCAAGACCCCGCAGTGAGGGAAGTCCTTTTGCCACTCCTATTCCCTCCACACACACAAGTTTCTTGAAGAGCTGCCATTTTCTGTCAAGAAAGTGCAATTCAGAATTCGCAGGACAGTGGAAAGGAAACCGTCCTGTGTTTCCTGCTCACGGATTTATTTACAGACTTAAAGACTAATTCATAACTCAAAGAAGAGCAGACAGAGGACAACTACACAGTAACAGACTATGAAGGCTCAGCCCATACAACTGAGAAAAAACAAGCAGCTTGTGACATCTGTACCTTGCCTTCAAGGCCTTTCTAGCGACTAGCTGGTAAGATCTTATAAAGGGGGGCAGTCTCGCAGAATTGTTAAGATGAAACAATGTTTTTGTTTATCCTTGGTGGGCTTTGGTTTTGCAAGTGAGCTTGCAGTGTGTGATAGTATGGTGGCTCTGAAGTGGTCTCTAAAAGTAGGAAAACTAAGGAAGGAAACCTCTCTTGAACTATTTGCTCATGGCAGGATTTAGTCCAAACCTGCCTGTTAGCGAAAGACTGTGTTGAAGACAGTCAGTGAGTTAATCTCTCTTTCCCAACAGATCGTATCCAACAACAAGAAATGATAACAGATTTGTAAGCAGGGAAATAACAACCCACCCAAAGTGTAACTGCTTGGCTTCATGCAAAATCATTTGCTGTACAAATGCTGGTTTTAAGCTTTATATAAAAGTATTTCCATAGAAGTATTCCATGGGTGAATCAGCATGTTACCACACTGCCTGCCTACCCCCAGAGAGGTGCAGGGCATGTCTAGCTCCGCTGGGCTTGGCAGGCCTGCTCTGCACTGTACAGACTTCCAAGGGGAAAGTCAGAGGAAATATGCATTCTTCTAGGATTAGATCTCATTCTTCGGACAGACCTAAGATACAGTCGGTCATGACTGACCCCTGTGCAAGTGCTTAAATGCAGATAATGAGTAATCCTCTATCCTTCCTTGCCTCAGAGAGACACTGACAGTCTTGGTCCTGATGCTCAAGGTCTGTTCCATCCCTGCAGTTCCCAATGACACTACCACAGACAGCATGATGCCCTTGACATATATTTTCTATTAATTTCTGTATTAGGTCAGCCCCATAGCTCTGGGTCTATGAAATGCTCCTAAAGCTCTGGGGTTAACTCTCAGCTATCAAACCCCCCAATCCAGACCAAAGATTTTGCCAAGTGTGGATAGAAGGGGAAAGGGTTTTCTTGTCAAGATCCTCTTTAGTGAGACCTTATAACAGTTCCTAAGGACTTCGGTCATCCTAATCAGTGCATCTTAGAGGTGTACAGTAGGATTTTAAAAAAATCCAACTATAGGAGGCAGGGTGAAGAGAAACCTCTTAAAAATCTGAAAGGTCCAGGTTCAAACTTGGTAACAGGTTGGAAGGGGTTACTGACAGAGAAATACCCAAACCCAAGTGGTTAAACTGCAGGGTTACTACTGCCAAGCCTCCCGCACTCAATCTTGTACGCCAGGCTCCCTCTAGTGCTGCCAGGCACGCACAACGCAGAGGGACACCAGCGTTGGGAACCAGCATTACCAGAACAGCGACAGAACTGGCTGATTTCTTACCTCGCTGGTTTTTAAAAAAAAAATAAGAAAGGAAATTGGTTTGGCTCAATGTTCCCCTCTTGGATTTTAAATGAAAAATAGTATAAAAAATTACTAGGAACTAAAGGAAATGTTTTATTTCCAAGAGTTTTAAAGATGTTTTAAAAAACATTTAAAAGAAATTATAATTTTGAAATTAGGAAAAATACATATCTTTCCTTGAAATTCCCATTCAATGTATTAAAAGCATACAAATGCACTGAATGTTCTGATCAACTCATCCAACACAAAATTCTAAAAAAGAAAAAGTTGGACCTAAAAGTCACCTGGTTCACACCAATTAACAGGAAGCAGAAAGTCTCCTTCCATCGAACCAACACATAAGGAAGCTGCCCTACAGATCTTTTTCTGAAGCATAGTAGTCACCCTCTGTGCACCAGAAAGGATTCAGGGTGTCCTGTACCAGCACCAGGCTCCGGCATCTCCTACACAGCTGAATTTTATCTTCACAGAATTGACAACAAGAATATTGCATAAAATCCTTAAAATGAGTGAGCTGTGATTAGAAAACCCTGCTATTTTAATCTCCAGAACTTCCTACTCAGTCCTGGGCAAATTATTTAAGCTAACATCAACAAAGGTGGAAAGAGAACTTTACTTACACTGTAGAGTACTTTGCTTCAGTTACCAGTCCACACTGCAGAAAGAATAGCACTGATATTGCCCTTTGGGCACTGCAGGATTAAATACAGCGAAGAGTAAGAGGCCTTCAGATATAATGGTAATATCGCCCTGTAAGTACTGGTGAGAGACAGAAACATGGGAGTGACACACAGAAAGATTTAACTGTGTTTAAATATTTTTATATAAAATAACAAAGATTCTATTTTGGAGCATACCCTCAGGGCAAGACTGAATCCAGTGTGCTGCTTCCAGTACTTTCTGAAGCATCTGCCTCATTACTGAGCTCTTGGGAGTGTGGGTAGTAGCTGGGAGAGATTCCCCCTGCTTTTGCATTATTTTGGGCTGTGGTATGTAATTGAAAAGGAGCTGAAACGCCTTAGCTGTAGCCTGAGCTTCCCCTTCACGTATTCGCACATGATTAATGAGTAGCCAAAAAGCCTGAAGGGTTTGTAATGAAGCCTTTCTAATAGGGAAATGTATTGTAGACAAATCCATATTTTGTCCCAAACAATCATTCATCAAAGCTTCAATTTGACTCTCCACAATTAAATGCCAGAGCACCCAAACCATCCTGAGGTTAGCCAGCTGTAACCCATGCTCCTCTCTGAACTCTGGCTGAGAGGGACATTGTCATCCATTTCCAGGGGATCAGCATATTTCCTTTGTCACTAACTATAATTAGTAGCTGTATTTGATGATTTCAATTAGAGAGAGTTCATCAAACCTGAGACTTAATGGACTGTTCTTACAGGCCTCAGTTCAACAAAGCACGTAACACATGCTGAGCATCAGTATGAGTCAAAAGTCTGAGCAGAACACCTACATGCATTTTTCTGAGGGCAAGGCACCTTCGCAGTGGGAGACCATCTATCCCACAGCACAGATGAAAAGACAAGGTTGGAGTACCCAGAGGAGACACTTAGCAAGGCCTGGTTTAACATGTCATTAAGCAGCACTTGACATCAATCCCTGTTGCAGTCTGCCCTGCAGGTGATGTATCAATTGCCAAGTGCTGGCAAATCTGGGAGCACACTAGGTTAAAAAAAGACTCATAATAATTTCCTTTAAACACTTAATCTTTCAATAGCATCCAGAGCCCAGATCTTAGGTCCATTAAACAGGACATTTAACCAACCTGTTAGCAGATACCAGGCCTGTAAAGAAGGCAACTGTTTATCTGGTAGAACGAGACAATTTTGTACAGCTTCTTTTAATGCAGTCCCTAATGACTGGATTGAGACCTATGTTACATTTTGCTTCAGTCCTCAAATGGCCGATGGATAATAACACATTTCATTTGTTTCACAACATCCTTGGCTTAAATCAGTATTTAGGGATGAAAGACAGCAAATGTCTCCCACTTGTAATTTCACCCTGTAATTCAATATAGGTGTTACATTGCAATAAAATCATATTGTATATTATCAGAGTTTCACCTACTCAAAATACTTTCAGGAAGAACTTTCAGAGTTGCAGCTTCAGGGTTGAAAAGTCTTGATCTCAAAAAAAAAAAAAAAAGACTTCTGAAGAATCTAATGGTAATATTAATTTATAACTGCATGATTAACAGGCTTTCAAAGGTTTTATTGGAGTTTCCACATTTTATCCACAGAGTCTGGTGTGTCTGTCTATCTCTTGGTGGAGACATGGCCAAGGGGAAAGCAAAAGGTCCACAAGGGAAAAGGATCACCTTGAAGATGGCCAAAAATTCAATCCGGGTAAGTTTTAGTGGAAGGCGCCGTCTGGACTTAAGCAAAATGGGCATCGCCACCTTCCCCAAATGCATTCTGGAACTGGCTGGTGATGTGGACGAACTTGATTTGAGCAGAAACATGTTGAGAAAGATTCCAAACACCATTGAGAAGTTCCAGAACCTGCTCTGGTTGGACCTGCATAGTAATCAGCTTGATGAGCTGCCCAAGGAAATAGGGTCACTTCAGAACCTTACTTTCCTGAATATATGCAACAACAAGTTGACCACAGAAAGTCTGCCAGAGGAGTTGAACCTTCTCAAGAACCTCAAGACTCTTAACCTTGGCTTGAACTGTCTTGAGACTGTTCCCACCACTCTCGGGGCCCTGAGGGAACTCGTTGATCTAGGTCTCTTTGACAATGTCTTGACCACCATACCAAAGAGTGTGAAAAATCTCCCCAAGATTGAGAGAATGAATGTAAAAAGAAACCCTTTACGAGAGTTAGAAAAGCCAGAGGAGGAGATTGACACCATTAAACGCATAGAAACACTTCACTTAGTAGAAGAGAAAGACCTATGCTCTTCCTGCCTGAAGAAGTGTAAGGGTGAGAAGGATGAGCTGCACAGGCTGGAGGACATGACACCTAGCTCCTCCAAGGAGCTAAGTTTCCCTTTACTCCTTACACCCAATTCCTCTGCAAAGGATAATCAAGAAGAATGGAGAGTAAGAAGCACAGATCCTTGAAATATACCAAGGCACTCTGCGTATCATGTGCTATGAAGTCCAGTCCAAAAAAGAAAGAAAAAAAAATAAAGCTGACCTCCCTCTTCCTCTGTTTTCCTGCTCTTCTTCTTTAAAGCTCTGCTCTGTTTTAGAAACTGATCTCTGTGATCTCTAAACTGAAAACCAAAATAACTAAAACAGATGTATATTTTGGAAGGGCAATTTCAATCTGGGCCTGTTCCGACAACATGTTCTCCACGTTTGGGTGGTTTTGGGGTCTTTTGTTTGTGCATGTGTCCAGTGAAGGGATCTTTTAAAAGACAGGTTTTTCTAGTAAATCTATTTCCACCACTAAGTCCCAGACATCAGTTGTGTTCATTTTCGTAGGGTGAGAAACAGTTACTCTAGTCTCAGTAAATACAGTTTGGAGGAAAACGCACAGACCTGGGAACCTTCTGCTGCTGGTGGCTGCCACCAAGCTCTCAGAGAGTCCCAGATAGGCACTGTCAGTGTCAGAACTCTGAGGCTGTTCCAATTCAGAGGCAGCAGCTACAAATGTTATGCTCAGGAATAACTAAGCAGTGCAAACACAATGCTTAAAGATAGACAACCCATGATCCTATTTTGCCACCAAGGGGCCAAACTTTGCATAAGCAAGTTCTTTGGGATTTTGGGTGCTATACCTCGGTGCAGCAATCTCCAAGTTGCACAATACAGTCAGCACCACTGCCCATACTCATTATGTTTTGTCTGCCTCTGAGTATCCCTCCAAGGAAGCTGCAGAAGGGAGAAGGGGTAGGGAAAAGGTTTCTTTCTGGGGTCCCAGCTTTATCACTTAGGCAGTGACTAAAGTGATTAAGAAGAGTCATCATCTTCCATGATCCAAGAGTCAGTTTGTGAATTGATGAAGTCAGGTCTGGTGTTCCCACACTACTTTTAGCTTTCCATTCACACGTTCATATGCTTGTGTGCACCTGAGCACACACATTCACTTGCTCACATCACATCCCTAGGGCAGAGATTGCTGAGAGCCTGCAAACAGCAATATACAGGTACAAGCAATGAGCAGATTATAAAGGCAGTCAAGCATGACACGAGAAGTGCTGGCAGTGACCGTAACAACCTGTGGTGATGGCAAACATTTAAGTATATTGAAATGAACGATAAAGTGCCAGGAGCACTTTATTTTTTAAATTACTACAGTAGAGCCTGAGAGTTGGAACTCTTGTGTATTTCCTATGGACTAGGTGGAAAAAACTATATGGTGTTTCCCAGAAATGCTATTACCTCAATGTCATGTGATGCATCAAACTAGTAATTTCTTCTTTCCATGCTTCAACTGTGCAATTATTAATAGTGTGTCTGGACAAAGAGCCAAATCAGGCCTTCCTCCCTGTCTCAGGTAGGGCAGATAAAACTTGGATGCTGTGGAAGATGGCCATTGCACTCCTAGATGGGGACAGAGCCCTATATGCTGCTTTTGAAATTTTCCAACTCAGAAGCAGCTCCAAAATTCAAACAAGGGAAAAGTAAACTCATCAGGTCCTCAGTCCTTCAGTTCTGCCTGGAGCTTGGTAAAGTGAAGCGCACCTCCTAAAGTTATTTTCACTAGCTTTCCACTTAAGCACAACTTTTCTGGGATCATTACTTACGCAGAGGTACTATCTTATGTTTGTTTCAGTTCATTCTCTAACATGGTCCAGCCAAAGCTCTGCCAAAGCTCTCCTACATTCTTGGAGCGAGTAACAGGGTCTTCTCTCAGCTAATGGAGTAAAACTGAAGACAGAGCCTTATGGGATTCAGGATAGGCTACTTTAGACCTAGATATGCAGCTTGCCTCAGTCTCTGAGATTAAACATGAATCAAGTGCTTCCCACACCAACCACAAGCCCAGTTAATGCCCAAAGTTCCTAATGCTGTAGTGCATCTTATCTCAAGATATTCACACCAGTTGAGCACCCAGGAAGCACAGGGAAAGGAAGCCCTGGGGTGAGTTACTATGTACTCCACACAGAACAGACACCATGCTCCACACTGTCAACCATTCCCTCTGGCACAGGTTAGGCTCTAGCCAGAGCTGGCTGCAGACCACATTGATACTTTTTGCCCATTGATGACTGGATGAAAATGCTCACTTATAAGATAGGTAATAATCTACAACAGGTAGACTGAATTAAAGAACACAGCTGGCACAGGCCACAACAGCTCACAGGAGCAATCTGCCCCTCAGGTCGCAACAGTATTTCAGCCTCAGGTGATCATTTCAGAGGACACCAATTAGGTACTTAGGGTTGTGTTCCTCAGATACCCAAATTGAGAAAAATTACAGGTATGCAAGTAACTCATGGTCAGCATGAAACGTGCTCTCAATCACCTGCCACTAGGAGAAAACCTATTTTTTCCTGCAGTGGTAAATCTGAGGGACAAGTCTCAATCTCCACTGTACAGCTAATATAACACACCAAAAGATCCATGTGCACATCTATCACTGTCTGCCCTAAGCACGCAATGAAGAGGTCATTATGCAGAAGCATTATGGATTAGCTCTAACCTCATCTCACTGACTGTCTCTTCCCACAGTAACCATCTCTGTAGGGTTTACCAATAAAGTAATATTAAGGAGATAATAAGTATCAATCAACTGTGCATGATCACCTACTCAACACTATCTTCATGTCTCCATAGTGTGGATGATATATGCTAGAATGCTTTTTGGAGCTCTAGCAACATCTTTGGATCTTTAAAATAGGGGACACAAATACATAAGTTTCTGTATGCTTTGCTTTAAAATGCAACTTATTCAAACAATTGTACTTATCTACAGATATCCAGTGTTTCCTATGATTTACCTTATATTCAGGGACTCTTCTGTTATCCCCTTTGACTTCAAAGCAGGTTGGAAAGAGCAAAATCTATAGGAGATATATGAAAGGTCACATTATATTTATGTAAATGTTTATTAGGATACATTACATGTGTATATAACTAATATCATGTCCTCAACAACAACTTTCTTCCTGAAGGATGCCACAGCATTTCACTGAGATTCTAACCTAGAATAAAGCAACAGGTTACAACACAGCAAAAGTATACATCTAGTATTAAGGAGTTACCTGTGGGTTGGATAAAAGCAGTTTCTTTCCCAAACGGGACTTTGAATTTATATATAGGGTATGGACTTATGATCAGGTGATTTAAGGGGCTATTAAAGCCAGAGAATAAGAACCCACTCAGACATTTATTAAGGAAAAATGGCAGAAAGGAATACCAACCCACATCTCAGCCATTCCTCTTTATATTTGCTGTGGGTTTTATGATGTCAGACAAACTGTACCCTTGGAATACATAGGTTTTGTGGCCTTCAGCTGAAGATCAAAACCTCATGTTGAACTGCCTTTGAAAGATTCCCCCAAGAGATACTTGTCAGAGCTCAAAGACAGCAAAGATAAAGACTAAACAAAGCAGCTGGTCCTGTGATTCTAAGTAGTCACACTATGCAGCCAATTTGGAAAGGAAGATTAAATAAATTTGCATTGACTTTTTTATGCAATACTCCTATAGGAACTGTTCAGAGATTTCAGGAGCGAAAGGAATTGCTGTGATTGTTTAGAAATTAATGGTACCAATCCTCAGTTCAGGCTGAAGCATTTACCACAGGAGAAATACTGGTATTGAAGTGTTTCTCCTGTGTAAAGGCCAGTGAATGTAATCCTGATATGATGGTTAGAACTACAGTAGAAAAAAAAACATGCAAGAAAATAAAGTGCAAATTAATCACTTCATAGTCTTACATTCAAGTTCCATTTAACAAGACAAGCATATGGGGAGAAATCTTTTTTAAATAAAAATGCCATTGATAAAAGTTAACGCCACACCAAAGATAAAGTCAGTGTTGGAGAGGCAAAAATATTTTATTCCTGAAGAATCTAATGACACTTTGTGTGTTGGAAAAAGCAGGAAGAAATCTTCTATCACCCAGTACTGCGAGGTGAGGTGGAGTTGGCTCTCATCTCAGATGGAGGAAAGAGCACAGCTACAATTGCAGTTTCCTGGGATGCAGGGTCACACAACACACCACTGGGTGCTAGAAAAGTCCTACACATGCATTAGATCCCTTGATAAATCAGTGGCTGTTTAATGCTCCAACGAATTCACAGGTCAGCAAAAGGAAAATTCATAGCTTAAGTGTAACCCATTAAAGCCCAAGGAACTGAAATTGAAAATAAAGCTGCTGCTGCAACACAACACAGACACTTTAGGCCAGGATAAATAGGGGTGGTAGACCAGGAGCATCACTTGGGTATTCCCATGTTATTATGAGATAGTCATTACCTTTTAAATATCTTATTTCGGTCGCTGTCGTGGAAGACAAGAAATCTGGAGTAACCATTTTTGAAGAATATTTCCAAGGCAATCTCCTGGAAAAGAGATTTACAGTGTGAAGAGCTGCAGAGCAAAGCCTAGTGCTGTAAAAAGGTCCATTATGGCCTGTCCAATTCTTCAGGGCTTTAAAAAACGGGACCTTGACTTTGTACCAAGTGTGAAGAAGTAAAGCAAAATATGTCTACTCTTCTAAATTTCTCTAACTGTAGGAACGGTCCTACTGGGTGACTAGGAGTTCAAATGCTTCTTTGAAACAAAACCAAACTCCAGATATTGGTGCCATCACTCACCTTTTCCTGCTGCTTCTGAAATATTTTTATTTTGAAATCTTGGTGTGATTAATAAGACAACAGTTGCATTAATTTCCAATTAGGTGCTAAAGATAACACAAAGAGGGGATTCTAAGTAAGATTCTATAGAAAGCAACCACACTACTTTCTAAATTAATAGAGAGCTAAAGAGAACTGCCCAAATTTCTCCTGAAAAGAAGCAGCGAAGAAGAAAGGGGAATTTATGGCATTTCTCACTGAAGCTTTGAAGAATTAAAGTTGAAAGAAAACTTCACTCTCTTTTCCCCCTGCAATGTTTCCACACATTGCTATGTTGGACATTTGAATATAATCCTATTATTTACTCAGTGAGTAGTCCTTTCCCCCCCCATATCATTCAAGTAAAACTAT